ATGCTGGCTTAGTTGAATCACAAGTGGGAATTAAGATTGCTGGGGAAAAGATCAACAACCTCAGATATGCAGACGATACCACTCTGATGGCAGAAAGTGAAGAGGACCTCAAGAGCATCTTGCTCAGGGTAAAAGAGGAGAGCGCAAAAGTGGGCTTGAAGCTCAACATCAAAAAAACTAAGATCATGGCATCCGGCCCCATCACTCCTTGGCAAATAGAAGGGGAAGTCGTGGAAGTAGTGACAGACTTCACGTTCCTGGGATTCCAGATCACTGCAGACGGTGACAGCAGTCATGAAATTAAAAGACGCCTGCTCCTTGGGAGGAAAGCGATGGCGAACCTAAACAGCATGATAAAAAGTAGAGACATCACCCTGTCAACAAAAGTCCGCATGGTCAAAGCAATGGTATTCCCAGTAGTCATGTATGGCTGCGAGAGTTGAACTATAAGGAAGACCGAGTGCCGAAGAATAGATTCTTTTGAACTATGGTGCTGGAGAAGACTCTTGAGAGTCCCTTGGACTGCAAGAAGAACAAATCAGTCAATCCTCAAAGAAATCAACCCTGACTGTTCCCTGGAAGGCCAGATAATGAAACTGAAGCTAAAATACTTTGGCCACCAAATGAGAAGGGAGCACTCACTGGAGAAGACCCTGATGCTGGGAAAGATTGAAGGTCAAAGAAGACTAGCAGCATAGGCTGGAAGCAGGTTAAATATGGTGTCACCCACCGCAAGCGCCAGCCAGCGGCAACCTTGCTCAGCTGGCCAGATCTGACCTCCCCTGGCTGGGCTAGCCCGGGCTGTGCAGGTCAGAGGTTCCAGCTGAGACAATGTGTGGAGGCTGCTGGGCTATGGCAGCTGTCCGTCTGGGGAGGCTGCCTGCCGCCCGCTTCCCTCCTCCCTCCCTCCTGCCATGGGGCAGGGGGTGCAGCTGACCTGGGGTGTGGGGAGATGGTGAGGACGATGCCGGAGTCCGCCGCAGTGGGCCGGGCTTGCTTACCCGTGGGCTGCCCTGCCGAGGTGGCACCAGTGAGTCAGTCTGCCAGCACACCTGCCTGCCCAGTGTATGGTGAGGCGGGAGGCACCAGGGGACACCACACAGGACCCCCCACACACACACACAGCAGGCTTACGCCGCCACTGCCTTCATCCGGGCTCTGCCTTTTCTGAATGAGCCACGGCAAACAGGCGAGCGGTGTCACCCCACATGTAATCCAGCGCTCCTCCGTCCTTGACAGTGCCACCGCCACCTCTCTCTCTCTCCGGGTGCACCTTCCTGGGCACGTGTCACCGGCCGCCGGGCTTTTGCTGCTCTGCTAAGGCCTGCTTGGGCCCGGCCAGCCTGCGTGCTTGGTGTCTTTGTCTCTCCGGGCCAAGTTGGGTCGCCTTCCACCCGCCAACCTTGGAGAGACCCCACCAGGGCCAGGCGTGGGGAAACCAGGCCGCTGCTACCGCATCATGGCAAATGTGAGGCCCTTCAGGGAGGGGAAGTAACTGTCTTCTGAGGAAAATTTTGGCCGGTGCCGCTTCTGTGAGTGGGATTTGGGCAACGCAGCCAGTGGATAGGGACAGCTTCTGAGCGACACATCATTGAGCCAACTGATTTGGGAGCGTGTGGAATGTTCTGGAAAGTGCCACCCCAAATGACAATTATTATATAGAGAGATAGCTTGGTGTGGGTCCAATTCCCTATTTACTTTTAAAAGGGCTACAAATCTTAAAGATATGTTGGTTAGGAGTGCACTTAAATAACATATTTTGGATGATACCCTGGCAGAGGTGGGGCACAGTCCAAAAGGCTATTTTTCATGTGGCAATTGTTCTCTTTGTTGCCTTGGCCTTAAAAGCAATGTATTTCAAAATCCTTCAAGGACTAGAAGTACTCTGTTAGATCTTTTCTTAACTGTAACTTGAAAGGTATCTTTTATTGTATACAGTGTCCATGTGATTTGTTGTATGTAGGAATGTAACAACACAGCCGGTTAAAGTGAGAATATATGAACACTGAAGCTGCATCAGACAGCAAAAATTGCCAGCTCCACTTGTGAAGCGCTACATGGCCTTGGGACACACAGATAAGGATCTTAAGTTCTGGCTCACAGAAAAACTGCAAGTGCACTCTTCACAAAAATTCAGCTTTTGAAGAAAAGGGAGTCCTTCTGGATCGTCACGGATACTTTGGTGCCAAGAGGTTTGAAATGAAGAAATCGACTGGTTGTGTGTCTGAGGGACTTGACTGCTGTTTTAGGGTTGATGTTTGGAATTAGGCTGGTATAATATTCTTCTCTCAGGTGTTGCTGATTACCTCTGTGTCGTTCTTTCTGTTGTATCATGCCCCCCCCCACACACACATACACTTTCTGTATAGAGAAGAGATGGATCAAGATGGGTAGCCGTGTTAGTCTGTCTTTAGACCCGTTCATACTTGCTGGGAAACGCGGGGGGGGGGGGGGCGTGGCTGTTTGCGGTGGCACAGTATGTCCCGGTGCAAACATGATCAGACGTGACGGCAGTTTCCTTCATTGGCGCACGTTCCCGGCGCGCTCCAATGAAGCAAGAGGAGTGCGCTGGAGCGATCACACAAGGAGAGTCTGGCAGCGGCCCATCGCAAGCCGTTTGCTAGTGGACTTTCGGAGGTAGCTTTTTACTCTGCATCTTCGGCTGGCTGCGATGGGTGCACTATGCTGGCCAGATGTTGCTGTGTGATCTCGCCTTTATAATCCGCCCGGTATTTGTGCTGATTCCGTGGCAACTTTTGCGTCTGATCGGAGCCTCTGAGCAATAGAAAAGGGCAAGAGTAGAAAAGAGCAGTAGCAGTAGAAAAGGGCAAGGAGGAGATGGGTGACCATGATGCCGATCCTTTTTTGGTTGTTCTCACCTTGAGCACTCCACTGAGCATGTCTGATCTGACCTAAGAAGGTAAATACTGCACAATTAAAAATAATAATAATTGGCCATTCACCACCACCCCCTTTGACCAATAAGACAATTTTCGATTTGTAATTTCTGTGCCAAATATTTTATGCGCGTTGTAGATCCATGGACAAAGGAAACATTCTGCATTTTGATGAGTTGCCCATAATGGATTACAAGACAAGTTGATACCTCTTACTCCATGAGTGAATATCTTAGTGTAAGTAAGGCTATCCACATTTTATGAATTCTAAAATTTAAATTAATTTTATTTCCCATCTAACAATGAGGTAATTACTGTTAATTTTTCTTTCTTGTTTCATTACAGGTCTATTTTTGTTGTTGTTGTGAGTATTTGTGGGTGTATGTGCTTGCAAGCCTGGAAGGCATGGTGAATTCTGGCGACCCCTAGTGGGGCTTGGACAGAGGTGGCTTATATGACCTGCCTTTGCATCCCAGCCCTGGTATTCCTTGGAGGTCACCCTTCTAAGTACTTGCCAGTACTTAGGCCCTGTTTAGCTTCCGAGATCTGATAAGACTGGGCTTGCCTGGGCTATCCAGGTCAGGGCATGTCAAGCCTATTCTTTTTATGGTCAGTTTTCTGTATTTAATTAAGTTAATGGAGTCCTCAGTTTAATTCATACCACCGAGGAAGGCATTGTGCCAAAACATGTATGGTATTGGTTCTTACATGTGTAGATAATATGTACTTTTAAAACTGTATTTTTGTAAACCGATATTTGTCTTGATACTGGGATTAGGTACTTATATGCTGAACCACATGGTTGTTGTTTTTCATCCTATGTTAGTATTTCTATAGGCATTATTAAATTAAATTAAATTAAATTAAATACTGGTGTTTTGTACATTGATGCTGGGAACTGAACCTGGAATCTTCTGCATGAAAAGCAGGTGCCCCCCCCCCACCATGTTGGGGATGGGCATAGTGGCTCTGATCCCTCTTACTCCTTCCATTCATTGCTTCACCCTGCTTAGGGCTATAGATAACTGTTACTGTGCAATCAAAACCTTAAACCATAGGAGATTCATACGAAGCAATAGCATTTCTAATTGAATCGAAAAGGTATAGATACAGGAAGATAAACATGGCTGCCCTAAACTGACCTAGATAGTGCAGGCTAGCCAGATTCTGTCAGATCTTGGCTGCTAAACAGGGCCGGCCCTAGTTAGTATTTGGATGGGAGACCTTCAAGGAATTCCAGGCTTGCTAAGTAGAGGCAGGCAACAGCAAAGCACCTCTGTCTGTCTCTTGCTTTGAAAACCCTACGAGCTTTTGGCCTTGAGTGAACCCAGCTCAAGCAAGCCTGCCAGTTTGGTTAGTGGTTAAGTGCGCGGACTCTAATCTGGGAGAACCGGGTTTGATTCCCCACTCCTCCACTTGCACCTGGCTGGATGACTTTGGGCAAGCCATAGTTCTGATAAGAGCTGTCCTTGAAAAAGAGCAGTTTCTGTCAGAGCTCTCTCAGCCCCACCTACCTCACAGGGTGTCTGTTGTGGGGAGGGGAAGGGAAAGGAGTTTGTAAGCCACTCTGAGACACCTTTGGGTTGTGAAGGGCAGGGTATAAATCCAGTCTCCTCTTCTTCTTCTCTTGAGTGAACCCAGCTCCAAAGAGATAGATCAAGATGGGTTAGTCTGCCTGTAGCAGTAAAGAAGAGCAAGAGTCCAGTAGCACCTTAAAGGCTAACAAAATATGTGGCAGGGTAGGAGATTTTGTGAGTCACAGCTCACGTCTTCAGATACTCACAAAAGTTCCTACCCTACCACAATTTTTGTTAGTCTTTAAAGTCCTACTGGGCTCTTGCTCTTCTCTACTGCTACAGTTCCAAACAGATAGCCTTGTTAGTCTGAACATGGAAATAAATGTGCCTCTTTAGGGTGCCACTAGCTTTTTTTGTTGTATTTTGCTACCACAGACTAACTCAGCTACTCTTTTGCAAGCAGCAGCAGAAATAAACAGGAGTCTTGTGGCCCCTTAAAGACCAGCACCATTTATTCCAACAGGAACTGTTGTGGGCTTAGATGCGTTCTTCAGGTGCAACAAGCAGATCCTCTGTTTTTAAGTAGGATAGACTGTTTATCTAGGACTTGCAGCTAATGCGCCTGCCACCTGCCTCTCCTTATCCCCACACTGACAGGCCCAGCAGCACAGTGAAGCGGTTCA